GATGAAGTTATTTTCACAAGCTATTTTGATAATGTCACACTTAAAAGTATGAACTAACATATTTATCTACAATTTTAGAAATAATATTTTTCTCTTTTTCAAAACTACCTCTTTTTACTTCTCTTAAGCCTTACCGTTACAACGCTCTTTCTAATTCATATTTATCCCTTTCTAGAAATAAATTTGACTTTATTTTTCCTTTTTTTTTTTTTCAGAATAATCAAGTTATTTTGACATTAAAAAAAAAACAGAAAACACAAATTTCAAATCAAATAATTCTTAATCACAATTGATAATAGAAACAATAAAAGAGTTAAACATCAACTATAAAAGTAATAAAAAAGATAAATATCTAAAGATATATTAAAGCAAAACCAAAAAAACTCTTTTATGTTCACATTGTATGTTCACATTTGTTCACACTTATAAATTATATAAATTTTATCTTTTGAATTCTGAACTAGATTAAAACCAGTTCAAAAATACTTTCTTTTCAAAAATTATTATGTTTTTCTTATTTATTTCCTTTTTTATTTTTATTAACTAAAAATAGCCTGCACCATTTTTTACGAAAAAGTCTAAAGCTAATCTTTTCCTCTTCTCCACCACAAACTGAAACCCTATCTTCCTCATTGCTGTCGAATCTCCTTCCTCACCAAAGCCATGGCCGTCGTCGATCTTCATCATCTTCTCTCCTTCATTGCTGCCGAACCCCTTCCTCACCAAAGCCATGACCCTCCCTTCCTCATTGCTGCCGAATCTCCTTCCTCACCAAAGCCATGGCTGTCGAGCATTCCGGATCTAACAAATCATGAAGCGTCAATCTTCATCATCTTCTCTCCTTCATTACTGCCGAACCGCTTCCTCACCAAAGCCATTACCCTATCTTTCTCATTGTTGCCGAATCTCCTTCCTCACCAAAGCCATGGCCGTCGAGCATTCCGGATCTAACAAATCATGGCGTCGATCTTCATCATCTTCTTTCCTTCATTGCTGCCGAACCCCTCTCATGGCCGTTGTGACTATTTAAAGGTGAGATCTTAGAAGCTGTTGTGACTATGGTCAACAAGGTAACTGTTTTCTGTTTGCTACTCTCCTGACTTGATGATAAGATTATCTTATGAACCATGGATTTCTATTGTTTTACTGATAACTGCATTTGGGATTCCTACAGATGGGATTCTTTGCAGAAGCTGGACCTGTTCAAATTTTTGTTTCAAACCATGTAAGTATTTTTGCGCTTTTTAATAAGGTTTCTGCTCCAAGAGGATCACTATATTCATCTTGTAACAAGCATTTTCATTTTTCCATTCAAATCTATGTCCTCTGTGAGATGTAAATTTGGTTGGTAGTTTTGCATTTTCATTTTTGTTCATTGCTTACATTGTGGCTATTGTTGATGAAAACTT